AAAAAAAAAAAAAAAAATAGTTAAATAGTTAAATAGCAATTCGTTATATATAAATGGGTTATTTTAAGTTATATTTATTTCAGTTAATATGCAATTAAAATTAATACACCTCCGTTATGATTATAAAATCATATCGTTGTTGACATTATCGATGATCAGTGATCGAAAAATAAATTTACCAACTTATCATTAATATTCAGTATCCAGCGGTATTCCAGAACATATCGTAAGTTAATCTTATTTTTATTCTCTTATCATTTACAATGTTAAATCTCGACTATATTTTACAGTGTTGTTCATAATATTAATTATTATCAACTACGTTCTAAAATATAGTTTTTTCTTTTTATTACTTCCAGGTATGCCGAAATTATTTTTAACATGAAGAGAAGCAAAATGTAATGACTAAAAATCTGTTCCCTTTATTGTTACAAACTAAAATAATGGGTAAAACTATTTTTTTTTGGTGATTTTTAATTATCAAAAAAAAAAAAAATCCGGTAGTTTATAAAGTTTTTCCTTGATAATGCATATTTATTTTAATATATTATTAATAGTTATTAATACTATACTAAAATATAGTTTATAGTAATAATTACTATTTTTTTAAATTTATTACAATGAATAAATAAAATTAACTTATATTAACTTTGGAAATTATCTATAACAATTTATAGGACTTTTAAAATTAAACTTTTTAAGCAGAATAATTTTTACTGAATTAAAAACAATAATAAAAAGTTTATAAATGAAAAATTGAAATGGATTTTTGGGTTGAAAGCAGTGTTTCATTATTATAATTATTTTTTTCTTAATTTTACATAAACAATCTATACAAGTATATACGTGTATACTAAATTTTTATTCTAAATTAAATTATAATTACTAATGTATTCAATTAACAAATAATGTTATGAATCATATCAGTACCAGTATAGTTATATATGTGTGACATTTTTTTCTTAAACTGATCAAAAAAAATGGGGGTTATAATATTTTTATGTTATGTAAAGAGAAGGTTTTCTGTCGTGTGTAAAAATTCACAACTCATTTTTTAAAGAATGGTTTGTTACTTATACTTTAAAATCTTTTTTTATATAAGTAAAATAATTTTTTTAATCATTCATAAATAACATATGCTTTTTATATCATATTATAAATTTTCTATGTTTTAATAAAAATAGTTTTTAGAAATCCGAAAACATTTTTCACGATGTTTAAAATGAACTTTGCAATGTAAAAGAAATATATTTTCTTCAATTCATTCTGACTTAACCTACTTAACTTTTATTTTATTAATATGTTGTTAATAGTTACAAGTTTTAAATTAAAAAAAAACCTCCAGTTAATAATTATCATTAAAAATAATTTTGTTTTGACAAGTATTGCGTTTAATAAGGTCAATACTTTTGTACACTTACCTAGTCCAAACCAAACAGATCTTTCGTTGTCATCTGACCATTCAACTAATCCTCCTTGCTCATCTTTAGTTATTATACGGCCATTTTTTTTGTTCGCAAACAGCACAAAGTAAGTACCCACTGTTAAAGTAATCCCACATGCTGAATTTTCGTTTCCCGAATTATTATTTTGAAATCCGGTCACGTTTATTCGTCTACAAAAATAAATCATTATATTATAATTATTTAGCAAGTTTTAATTAGTATTAATTATTAGTATTTAAATATTTTATTTATTATGTTATATTTGTGTATATTAGGGTCATTATATTAAATTGGTGTATTAATAAACCCAGTAGGTTTGATCAATTAACAATTTTTGAAACATTTAAAACAATTATTAAAATTTATATTGAAAAAAAATCTGTATAAAAGTGATAACACTAGTTAAATTTTTAAATAATAACTTTACTTAAATTGACAAATACTATTTGGTGGTCGAAATTGAAAAATAACTTTCTAAAATGTAGCAAATATACACTAAGAATTTATTGCAACTAAATTTATATAAATTTTTCTTAAATAACTTATCTCAATTATACTTCCACTTCTAAATTATGTAAAGATTCAATAAATTAATGTATAGTAAGTGTTTAAATAGTATAATGTTAAACATTTTTTAAATCAATTAAAATTATTATTTATTATTTTAACTTAACTATATTTATAGTACTAAATAAATAAAAAATTCTTTAAATTTTCTAATTTTTTAACGACTAAAAAATATTTTAGAAGTAACAAGTGCAACCAAAAAAAGAGTAAAGTGATGTGAATTAACTAGAGATTTTATATAATCACTAAATATACAATTTCCTTCTCTTTGTCTATTAATAAAAGTGTCATAAAAATTTCTATTTTGGTAAAATCACGAAAATTTGATGATAGTGAATATTACTGCTTAGTAGATAATGAAAACTGCCGTTAAATTCTACTTGATGAATAAATCGTATTCACTTTTAAGAATCATTCTACTGATAAAAAAACTGAGTTAATAATTTTGTATCAAATTTTGTTTTTTTTAAATAATTATATTGGTATATTAATATAAACATTTTTTTTACAAATACATGCATAATATAAACATGATTACATATGCATAATTTAAACTGCATTTTACTTTTTAAATTTTTTTATAATAACATGAACCACTTCAAATAACATCAAAAATGAAAAACTAGTAAAGGTAAAAATTTATGTTGTTAGGGAATTTTTTTTTCATATTGATTATAATTAATAAAAACAAAAAATAATTATTTATTGGCATCGGATTTCTACCATCAGACAATGCTGTCAATTCAAAATTAAAAAATACAAAAATCGGTTATTAATTAACTCGTTGGTAAATCCTTATCACTGTATTCAGTATTCTAGATATATTCTTTATGTATCACGATTATTCAAAAAATAAAAGGGTTGGATACTTGGCCATTGTCCTACTAAAGTTTAGTCAATTAATAGATAGAAGACCATCTAGATAGACGAGGAAAGTACTTGAGAATGAGACAGCAAAAACTTCTCAATGCAGTTTTTGGCTACACACTTTCGTTTTGGCAATTGTGGTTTAACGGTTTGGCAAAGAGTTAAAAGGTTGCAATTAAGCGATGTCAGGTTAAAGGAAACTGATAATATATAGAGTGTTCAGTAAGTAAGGAAACGGGTTACTATTGTTCTCATTGTTTGTTGCAATTGACCTGTTTCCTTACTTACTGAACACCCTATATAGACATATCATAAAACAAAAAGAATTTTTTGCGATGAATTAGCTATATATATATTAGTTTTACATTAAGATCAATTTAAATAATAAATCGATTTTCGCACGTGAAATAATCAGTGGTGAAAAAATCTATAAAATTAATTAGATATTTTATCAAAATAAAATAATCTTATATTTTAGATGACTTTATGGACGGATATCTAAACTTAATCTGTGATAAGCTTTTGTTATAAATGTAAAAAATATCTAGAAATAATGTTAACATGAAATTAAAGAGATATTTATTAGTACTTTGTATTAAATGATTTTTTTCAAAAATGATTTTATTAAATTTCGTACATTTTTACATTAATACATAATGATAAATTTATAAACCACAGAGGTACTATGGATATAGTAGACATATAGTATTATATACAAGCATAATTAAAAATTCATAATAATATATATATTATAATATTAAACAACGTATATAGAAGATGGTTGTTATTTATCAAGCTGTCTAAAATTAAACAATTTTCAAAACTATCAAAAAAAAAAAACTTGCTGCTCAAACTATAGTAATCCATAAAATTAAAAATTAGATTAAAACGAAAAAAATCAAGTCTAATTTAAACAGCACATATTTTAATTTTTTTAGATTTTTATTTCGATCTCTTTGTGTGTCATTATCAATATCTTAAAAAACCCAGCACAGTGGGGACGTGGTATAGTTAAGTCCAGTATATTAAAGGTTTGAAATTAGTGCAAAAATTTTGTTTAGCATAGTATATTTCGATCTATAATAATTAAAAATATTTTATTTTAGTGGTATGTTTTTTTTGAATAATTATCTAAAGATTTAAAAAATAATAATTTTTATTGTGGTTAATTATAAAACAATAATGCAGAAAAAATGTAATTTCATTATAACATTTAATGAGAGTTTATTTGTATTAACATTAAAGGCTCTTCATAAATTAAATTTCAATTCTAAATTTATAAAAAAGCAATCCTTTGGTGTTGGTATAAACGTTACTTGGGTAATTGGATCAAATTTATATTTCAAATTGAAATTAGTTTTCTGTAATTACTGTTTTTATACAATCTTTAAATATTTTTTTATGAATTTAAAAAATACTAATTTTAAGTTTTAGTCATTAATATCTTTATACTCTTGAGAGTATTCATTCCATAAATAATTCGCATCATGAGGTACAAATTTACAATAAGCCGATATATCATAGTGCACATTGAATATTATGCTTTTAAAAAATATGTCTATAGTATTTATTTTCCGATAGTATGTTGATATAATGTCACGTGATAGAGTTGGTCTATTTAATTTACAAGAATATTTCCTATTTTCCCTAATAAAGGACTTATGTGGTAGTTATTAAGAATAGAAGCCAATAGTTTGATATGGAATAAATCTAAAACATCAATGTCTCTTTTCATCAATACTGCCCGTGAAACAATTAATATGGATATAATGTTAATGAGTTCTTCTGTGCAAATGCATCTATTTATTAAATAGTTTTCATCGTTAAATTATTTTTGACAATTTTGTAGGATGTTGCTAATAACAAAAAAAAGTATATTCATAACTTTTCTGTATATGCATCCAAGAAATGCAATCGAGATTCGTATTTTTTTATTATATTTGTGTCGATGTGTAGGTGTTATAATTAGATTTTGAAAATAATAATTCGTGCTTGCTACACAATTTATCAAATTTCCTTTGATAATGTCTACATCACTTGTTCAACAATGACAAACTTAGTTGTCGACAAGGTCTGTCTTTTGATATCCAAAATCTATTTAAACCAGCTGGCTCCACATTGAAGTCATTGTCTAATCACGGTCGACGGATAGACGTGAGGAAACGATTTATCGGTTAAGGATTCTAGAAACAAAACAAATTACAGTCTCTAAGGTAATTGAATAATGTCACTCTCTCTACGTTTGGATAGAACGCGGTGTTCACTGAAAAGCGGTCGTCGGAAGTGGTAGAAGAGATGTGGCCATTAATCTAACCGACCGAAGAATGGGAAAATGAGCGGCAGTTCGGTTGCTAGTGACTTTAGGGACGGTAATAAAGATATCGAGTACCACGCATAATGCGTTTGTGTGTGTTGACGTGGAAATATTCGGAACACTTTTCGCTGCAGACAACAATTCAATTGAAAATCAAATTTGATTTATTTTATGTTATTGAGAATCTATAAAGTTAAATTGACTGTAGACACATTGATGTATTTTATAATTGTCATTTAGATTGATTTGAATTTTAGGCAAAACGTTCATTATGAAATTAATTCAATTCTGTAGTGTATTTTTCCATGTCGTACTAGTCTCGATAATTATTTTCAAATTTAAATGGCAAAAATACAAATATAATCGCTATAACAATAATAATATTGTTTTAAATGTTGAAGTCATAAAAGCAGTTAAATTAATTTTAATTTGTTATGATCTCAAAAAAAAAATATACATATACATTTTTATGTACATATAATTTTTTTTAAATCTAACAATTATTAAAAAAAAAAATCACTGTTATATTTATGATATTTAAAACTTAAGCGTGTTAATTCAATTATATAAATCTATACATTTTATGCCTATGTAGTATCTATAAAAGAATAACATAAGACCAAAAATATTTTCAAGTCATGTAGTACCTAAAACGGACAAAACCTAACTATAATTAACTTCTAATTTAACATTTTATTGAGTAAATTTACATAATTTTATTAATTGTCATAATTATAATAAACAATTTTCACCATAAGTTTTTATTTAGGGTAGTAGGTTGATTTACACTAAACTTTCACAAAAGTATTTAATGAGCAACTAGCGTCTACCTGTTTTAAGATTTTGTAGAACTTAAAAGATCACAAAAGTTTTCTAAGTCAAATGTACAATATTAATTCCAAAAATATAAAAAAATATGAATTATAAGTCTGATTAGAGTTTTATATATATAAATTTGTTTTATATGTTTTATTAAATTTAATTGATTAGTTCTATTCAAAAAGTGATAAAAATATGTCTCCAAAGTCTGATTTGTTTATAAAAAATTGATTGTTAAGATTAAGAAGATAAATCTTATTTAAACACTAATATTAGAAATCAAAGGTCTGATTATGATACAGCAAACATTTTTATTTTAATATTTAAGACATTTTAACTCTAATAAAAGTATTTATAGTAAATTTAGTATATTTATACGCATCTACTTCGTTGATTAACTCGAAAATTTATGTACAAAAATATATCCAAATGACGCAATTTACCCATAATTTGGGGTAAGTGCGCCATTCAAACATTTTTTAGCTTCGATGCGAAGCTGAGAAGGTATTAATTTTACTATGATGTGTTTTTTTATTTTTTGTGTCTGTTACCACTTTTTCTCAGCTCTCACCGAACGGATTTCTTTCAACGATACTTCAAAAG